TAATCGTGGAAACAGAAGTCGCTGAATTTGCTTCTCTGCAGCACACTCGGATGTTGCCTACACATGTAAATGAGAGAGTGCAGGTAAGCGCAGTCCTTTTTTTTTTGGTCAAAAGATATCGATTACATATAGATGTTAGAATAATTCTATTATGTGAGTTTCCATTTGATTGCAAATTTTATGGATTAGATGTATGGTTTGCAATGATAGTGTGATTACTGGGCCGTTGTACACCTTACGGGCGATATTATTATAATGTGGTAATTTTAAGTATGTGGGTCGGAATTATGTAAACCCTAATTAGGGTTAGAGTCAGTATGGAGCCGACTTTGTAATTTCCTATATAATGGTTATGTCCCATCTCCTCTCGATATTATTTTATGGGTTTTGCTACCGGTACATCAATGTGTACACAAGGGGTTACACCCCTCTCACATGGGGGGTGTGACCCACTTTAATAAAAAAATATTATTCAAGTGGGTCCCACCCCCCATGTGAGAGGAGTGTAATTCCTTGTGTACATCTTTTGATGTACAAGTAGATAATTCCTTATTTTATTGGCTTGTCCTATTGACGGGTGGTTATTTTGTGAGTAAGGAGAGAAAGATCTAGCTGTAATATTCATATATAACAATGTCTTCCGCATGTATAAATTTCGAACTATCAATTAACTATAAGATTCTTATTCTTAGCATGATTGTATTGAATAATTTCAACAATTGGTATCAGAGCTGCATGCTAAGATTTGAATCCTTTTTATTCTAATTTAATCATGCAATTTATATATTTAGTTTTCGCTTGACCATTCTAAGAATATGCACCCATAGGAACAGTAGAATCATCAGGATCTTAGAACAAATTAAATAGAATTTAGCAGTGTGGCGGCGCAGACTGAGTGTATTTCAACTATTATCCCTGGCCGGTCCTCTGAGATTAGCCCAATGTGGCCTGACAAGTTCCCAACTCTTTTCATGTACATATGCAAAAATTTTGGCGTGTTTATAGGTTTGGGTTTTTATTTTGGACCATGCTATGTGTACATAGCATGGTACATAGGAGTGTACATAATGTGAGAGGGGGTGGGGTAGCGCGGGCCCCACTCCCTCTCACATTATGTACACCCCTATGTATATTGCTATGCACACATAGCAATATCCTTTTGTTTTTAGGGTTAAGACATATCTGCTGTTGGGTTTGATTAAAATATGAATTTTATGTATATCGCTAGTTATATAATTTTCTTTGCATAATTTGGCAATACTGTTTGAATTCATGCTTAACTGGTTTCCATTAGGTTGATTTTTACCCTTTAATTCTGTCATGTTCTTGGTTTCATTTTCCTGCATAAAATTTCTTTCTTTTTCTTTTTCTTTTTATTTTTAAGGGTGGTGGTGAGTAGTTAAAAGCTATATTAGGTTAATGTTCTAGGGATGACAATTCAAATGGTTAAAATCGCAAATCGCGGTTAACCAAATCGAATGGGGCGAAAAAAATCGAACCGATGTTGCAATGTGGTGGTTATGATTTTGATTTTAATGACCCGGTTTGGGATGTGGCGGGTATGGTATTTAGAAACGGTGCCCCACCCCGAACCGATTACCCGTTTAAAAAAAAAATAATTGGCCAATTGGGCTTTCCATTATTCTTTCCCAAAATTAATTGGGCAATTTTGACAATTGGGTTTCTCCAAAATTTTGACCCAATTAACATTACTAGTAAACTCTTAATTCAGTAACCTAACTCTAACTCTACACGTTAAAATTGAAAATAGAAATAGGCTTCACCCGAAGACTTTAGCAGCTTTAATGTGTGCTCGGGATTGGCTTTGGACTGATATTCATGGTATGATTTATTGTTTTATATTAGTTATTTATACACTTTCTTTTATTACTGATTTTTTTCTCTATTGTAT